AAAATTTACAAAATTCACTTTACATCGTCGAAACGCGATAGATCCGTGTGTGTGTGTGTGTGTATGTGTGTGTGGATTCGCCCATCGCCTCCCACGTTGGCGCCGGTCGACAGCGAGATGTTGATCTCGATTCTGTCCGTGTATGTGTGTGTCGTCTTTACGTTACGCCTGTATACATAAATACGCGAAGGATTCAGTGTAACAGCGATTAATCCATTTCTTCGAGAACTCGAGGAAATTAATCTAATAATTTAGTTCTAATAATAATAATTTAGTTCCAAGATCAATTTTATCAAATTTTCAACAAGTGAAATATTATCTACTGTCAATTATCTACTGTCATCACATTGAATCAATCACACACATACACACATATACATACATATGTACGTGTACATATAATCAAGTAAATAATAGGTGATTTTTTTATAATGGCTGGTAATGCACGATTTTATAAGAAAGTTAATTTTATCGCACATTGAAAAAGTATGTTTCTTTCCGACTCGATCATTTGTGTATATGTATGATCATGTGTGCATATGTATAAAAAAAAAAGAGCAAAGTGATCTGATCGCTTATTTACAAAACACTAGATTATATAAGATTTATCTAATAGCATCTCGTAAAATATAAGAATAATAACTTTATTTAAAAAAATAAAAATTAATTAAATCGTACTCGGAAAACGGTACATCAGAGAGTGAGCAGGAGGTGTACACGGTTTACAGTTTTCTCTCTTCCTCTTTTTTCTCGCAGAACGATTCAAGCAGTATAGAATCCTACGTATGCGTCATGCACGTTTCTCGCTTTCTTTCGCGAGATTTCAATCCTTCTCGATAATTATTTTATCGTTTCTTGAGATCATCTCTCTCGTGCAAAGCAAAGCTCGCGAAAAGACGCGTCTCGAGAAAGGTCCTACGCAAGGGCTCGTGAAAATCGAATCTTTTTCTTTTTTGATAAATTTCTAAATCACATATTTTTTTCTTCTCTCTTAATGTTCTTAATTTCCTTCGAAATTAGACGACACGAATCCTTGCGTCAGGACTTATCGTTTCGATAGAAAACTTATTGTATATAATTAACGCATACGCTCTGTCGCTGATGTATGTATTCTCATCGATTCTGCGGTTGATTGCAGATAAATCACCTTTCTTTCTTTCTCGGCACTTTTCTCGCTAGATCATTTCCGTCTCTTGTATCCCCTCTCTCTCTCTCTCTCTTTCTCTTTTGCATTCTCTCGCGACGCTACCTCCTCGCTCGCACACATATACACATCTACAAACAACATACACGGACTCGCGCATGAAGATACACAGAAACGCTCCACATACACATGCACTCGCGCAAATATCTCTGAACTAAGATATTTAGACAAGAATATAACAGCGGTATAAAAAATTTTTCAACACTGAAAAATACAAATCTATCGTAAATGACTACCATTGTTACTCGTTTCCTCCCACGTTTTTTTTTCCTTTTATCAATGTATATTTTTTTCACGCTCATCTTTAATTGTACGCGCATTATTCGAACGACAGTAGGTCCGCTTGAGATCGAGTAAACCGAAATCGGCCTAATCGCAACTCTACGTGTGCAATCACGCGCGTTACGTGTCTGATTAATTAAGTGATCATCTCTTCTCCATACCTTCTCTATATTCTCACTTGCGCGCGCGCTCTTTCTCTCGCTTTTTACTGTCGTGTCGCGCAATATCCATTTTTCTAATTTCAATTACATCCCGTTTCTTTTTTTTTTCAAAGTCTGTCACAATATATTAGATATATTTCAATTGTTATTATCAATTATATATATATATATATTAGTGTACTTTTATATATATAATATATATTTAATCTATATAATTGTCATTATATTATTATATATATTATGCTTTATCACACATATTACAAAGGAGGTGAAGAATCACACCTAACATATTATTATTATTATTTTGTTGTTACTTTTTTGTTACTGGCATACCTCAAACGTTAACTTCGTACTGCGGGTGTAGGTTTTGCGGTTACTTTGTTTTTTTTTTATTCATTGCGCAAGGGCGTTTGATTGTGTGTGCGTGTGTGTTTTTTGTGTATACGAATTGGATGTGTATGTTCGTGTATATGTATGCGCGTACAATGTTACGTCATCAGTGTCGCGGTTTTATTACTCTTTTTTTCTTTTCCTCGCCTTTTTCCTCGCCGCGCACGAAAACTCGAACTCGGGTTTTTGAGCCTCTACGGTAATCGGAATTTCGGTAAATCTGCTAAGTTGCTTCTACGGTGAGAAAACGCGTTTGAAGGTATTAATCACAAATAATTCCTCGATTCGATTCAAATAAAAAAATATATAAAGTATGAAATTTTATTTCGTATAAAATAAATCTCTCATAAACTAGCAGTTTATAAATCCAACGTTATTTTCGCGTAATTCACTGCTAGATTTTTCCAGTTGGCGTGTTCTAGCAGTGCCACAGTCATCATTTGTATTTTCTTAAAGCGTACGTCAAGAGAAAAAAAGTCTGAAATTGCTTGATAATCAAGTAATAAAGCAAAGGCAGTTCAAACTCTAACTGTAACAGCGCGTCTTAAATATCATAAAATACAGCAATTTAATTTACAAACTGAATTAAATAGAACAGATTCTAATTAGCAAAACGTTCGTTTAAGAAAAGATATCAAGACTCATATCACATCTATATAAACAATATGCAAAAATTTCCCCGGAATGTCCCGGTCTCGCCGATAACATTTCCGTCCAATTTCATTGATCGTTATCCATCGGTAGATTGATATGTTCGTGTCGCGCGATTGCATATGCATGAAATAAAATATGCATGTAATCTCACATTTTTTTGCGAGATATATCCAAATGTGCGATTCCTTTGGAAATAATCAAATCACTTAACCACGTGTCCATCTTTCAAACTAATTCGAAAAATGCGGACACCTTTTCCGTTTTTTCATTTTTTCCTTCGATATGAGAAATGTTGTCGAATGAAAACTATTCTCTGAATGAAATTGGACGTTTTACGCCGTAGAGACACGAGTTGTAAGAGAAGGGTCTAGCGCAAGAATCTCTTAAAGTTTCTATTTTACAAAATGTCTTAAGAGAGACGTCTTGAAATTATTTTTCATAATTTCCGTCTGTTCAAAAATTGATATAATTTATGCTACATCTTGGCATAATTTTTATTTCTACAAGTACGAAGAAAGAAATTTGTTCCCGCGTACTTTGAATGTTGCCGCACCAAACCCTTGACTTTTTGAAAAGTTTATTCGACGACAGCTTAGAATAAAGATCCGCGGGAACCGACGTAGTATAAAACGATAAAATTCGCACGAAAATACGTGAAATTAATCATTTTTACAGATGTAATAGCGAGCGTATTTTCCATCTTCAATTTGAGATATCGACTGTCAAAGTGAATTGAGAGTCTATTATGTTAAAGGAAAGGAAAAGTTTTCGTAAAAATTCGGGATACATGATCGTAAATACAGTTTCTCACATTAGTTGAGCGGGATCATCTTAATCGATTCCCGAGAATCTCAAAGGCGAGCGTCGACATGTCACTAACACGCCTTTAACACGGAATACACCTAATGTTTCTTTCCCTCGCTTCGTTGCGCCTTAAATATCGCTAGCACAAAAATAAGTGTTTCGCACAAAGAGGTACACGATGCCGGATAAAGGATGGGAGAATATCAATCGGCGGGAAGAATGGGATCGAAAGAGGATTGGAAACCTGCGAAACGACCCGAGTACATAGTAAGGTTGAACATTTAGCTAGACATCCATAGAGACACGACCGTAGCTCACAGTGTAAAGTTTACATGTGTATATGTGTACGCGCGTGCGAAGGATGTATTTGTGATTTAAAAAAGATTGCATACTCGTGGAAATCTCTTTAGGATTTTCTTGTGCATTTGTGTACGACACAAAAATGATTATATACTTGTGTTATAACTTTTCGTGTGTGTGTGTGTGTGTGGTGTGTGTGTGTGTGTAGTGTAATTTAAAAAATAAAAAATCGTGTACTCTCTCGAGGCTGGGTCTTTGCAACTTGTAATTGAACATGTCTATCATGTGTAAATTTTTAAGTCAAGATTAAGTGTACTTTATTCGCGTATGCGCATTGGTTTGCACTTCCGGAATAGAATCCGAAGCGATGTTTCGCGATACGTCTTGTCCCTCCTTCCTCTCGCTCACTTATTTCTTTTTTCGCGCGTTTTATCCGTTTTTTGAACATTATAGAAAAATTTGTCTAGAAAAATCGGTCTCGGTCCTCGTCCAAGTACTCGTTCGCTCAAGTATTGGAACATGACGCTACTCTCTATATATAATATATATTTATATTTATATGTATATAATATGTATATATCAATATATATAATTTGTTAGTTATCAATTGATTTAGGTGAATTGGTACCTAGGTAAGTTTCGCTACACAATTATATCGATCGATTAGTGGAGTGTGTGTACGTGTCTTTTCGTATGTGTATGTATATGTACTTTCTACGTGTACGAGCATGTGTCTGTGTGTGTCTGTGTGTGGCCGTGCACGAGCGTCCTCAATCTCGCGTGTTCGCGAAAGGTGCGGGTTGAGAAAATTTTTCGCCTAATATATATGCGCCGGTTCGCGTGCACACGCACACGAATAACATCGACATGTTTCTCATATATATACATATATATATGTATATATGAATTTGTCCGCGATAAATACACGCGATATGCCCCATCGCGGCCCGCGTTTCAATTTTATTACTCAAATTTCATTCTCCGCAAGTGTCGCACAGATTATGTCACTGTCTCTCTCTTTCGCTCGCTCCCTTTCTCTCCTACTCATTCTTTCTATCTTTCTCTCTTTTTTTGCTTATTTCGGTCTTTCTCTCTTTCTCGCTCGCTCGCTCGCTCTCTCTCTCTCTCTCTTTCGCACGATTTACGAGAACGTGACTCGTATGTAAAATTGCACTAACTACCTGCTCGTTTCATTCATTTTTTCACCTAATTCTCATTGCGTTCTTCGCTCCCTCCCAGCTCGCGTTCTCTCTCCCTCGTGTGATCTCCGTTCTCCGTTTCGCATTGATTCGAGCTTTTGTCGAGTGCGTAAGAGAAAAAGGTCAATTGTGTCTATTTAGAATATTGCGATAGTAACGGATAGAAAAATTCAATGTATTCGCTCTATATCAACTAATTTATATGTGTACAATTATATACCCCTAGTGGTTGTCCTTTTAGCCAATCTCCTTCCCTTCCCCGGAAACCTTTGCCGCAGGCGACACATTCGACGAGTCGTGGTCGAGGTCCCCCCCTGCTCTATCGCACCGCAGTTTCACTTGTCGCTCATTTTGTCTGTTGTTTCTCCCACGTATAGCCTCTATACATCGACACAAATTCCGTCTCTCTGCCAATGTTTAATCGCTTATACCTGCCTCCCCTCTCTCTACTGCTCGTATTCCTTATTATCTTAATAGGTTTCCTTTTTTTCACTATACGCGACTCCTGTCCACATTGAACGCACGTCTTCGCGGATCGATTGACATGTTTTTTTTCTTTTTAGACGAAGGGACGGAGGGTCGTCGTGGAACGCGGCCGCTTCTTAGTAGCCTTCGCACCATTTCATCACCTTACATATGATAACGCGGTTCCCCCCCGCACGCGCGCAGTGCCCTAATAAACGCCGCCTAATCTCTAACACGGCGAGACAAGATATATACAAAAAAGAGTACCAAAAAAATAAATATATATGTGTATATATAGATGTGGAAATTACATTTCTTTTTTTTTGTCTCTTCCTCGTTAGATTCGCACGCGACGTGATTCGTGATCCGTTGGTCGTATCATCGCTTGTGTGTGTGTGTGTGTATGTGTGTGTCGTGTATGCGTGCATGTTTGCATATTGTGGATTGCACAAAGTCCGATACGTGTGCAGAAAAAGAGTATCGCGAGAGAGACTCGTCATGCGAGGTTAAACTACGTCTTCCGACTGTTGCTGCTGCTGCTGCTACAGAATGTGGCTTTTTATTTTTGTCATCTACGAAGCGGAACAAACAACGTTTGCATACTAATCCCGAGCATAACGCTTCCCAGCCCTCGATCTTTGACCGTCTCTAGAAAGAGACACTGTCGACTGAATGACCCGGCTATTGTCGAAAGTATTATTGTGTGAGACACGCTTCTTTTGCACAACAAAAGCGTCACTCGAAGTTGACCAACACCCGGTATCTAAGCGCCAAACGTGCTTTCTTCCTCCTTTTCTATTGCTTAGTTATCAAAAGTATCCTACGTTATGTACCAAAGATATCGTGATCGGGATATTTTCGATTCTAATGGCGTCGAATCGATTCAGGAAGCTGTGTTTCGCGAGTAAAACGAATCGAAAAACCCCATCGATTAGATCTGCCCGGGTCACTGTCGAATTCGGTGAAAGGACGCGCGTCAGGAAGCGTCACGCTTATAAAATTACAGAGATCCTCCGATTTGCCCAAGAGACTCCCTTATACCGAAATCATCGAGAACATAATCTGCGATAAACGGCATCTCGGTTGAGGTGAGAGCTTTCCTCGTTCTCTTTCATTCTCCCTCTATTTGAACTACGGCGAGATTGCATTTGATTATATACACCCAGCGAAGAAGTTCGTTTATTTTCAAAGGGATTAAGAAACGTGCACACTCGCGGTCGCGATTAATAAACGCCAGTTAATTGATTAATCTTGGTTAAAAGAGGGGGAGTTCGGTATGTATGTACAGGGAGTGACAACATACGGCTCTATATAATATACGAATCTATTAATAGTGTTCCACGCGAAATGCGACACTTTCCAATCATCTATCGGACGTATGAAGAGAGTAATTAGGTACGATCATTCTAGATATATCGCTGATTTAATTTTCCGTTTATGCGAATCACGATTTTTATATCGCTACTTTGGTTTCGAGAAACGATATCCCCTCCCCCCTTCCATCTTAAAAAAGATCCGCGCGGTACGCTGCTCGTTTCCCGAGGAAGAGGAACGTACGGGCTCATAGACGTGGATATTCGATACGTTCCACTTATTATCGAACGTTGTCGGAGAATCGCGCACGCGTTTCGTGAATACTCGCTAATCGTCTCTCGTGAATATCGCGCAGAGAGTGGTCGTTTATTGCACATAAAGTAAAGTAGTAAAGTCAGGATGTAAAATTTGTCCTATACACTCTCGCGCTGTCTTGTTCCTCTTTCTCCGCGAGCGAATAGCGGGCCGATTTCTTTTTCCGTTTGCCTCCGACTCTCTTTGCAAGCGGACGCGCGCGCGAGGCTCGTTTCATTTCCCATCGAGAATCGTTGAAAGTCGCTCGCACCGGTTTTGGGAAAATATTGGCAGAGAATCCGATACGGCTAGACTAGGCTAGACAGACCCGGACAACACCCGAAGCACGCGCGCGCGCGCGCATCAAAAATTGAACTACATCAGTTTCAACGGTTTCTGTTTACAACCCTTCTTCTGTCGTCTAAGTGACATATTTTTTTCCTTCCCCCTAAACCCTCGGTTTCCCCGTCATTTATGTTTCTTCTTCGCGTTTGTTTTCCTCTATACTATTTCTCTCTTTCTCTCTTTCTCTCTCTCTCTCTCTCTCTCACTTGAATAAGTTAATTAGTAAAAAATCATTTTCTTAAGTGCCTCCCTACGAGCGCGCGGTTACGTTATCCGCACGAGAAACGTATTACACAACGCACCTATGTAACATATTTTTAATAAGTCCTTAATAACTAGAGGAGACTGTGTGTGTGTGAGATACAGAGAATTACCTAATACACAGCGGTTTGAAGCGTGGCTTTTTTCATTATCGATTAACATCCAATGCGAATGATTCGCCTCTCTTGATGTCGTCTCTATCCTCTCTCTTATCATTCTCTTCCGTGTTTTCTATCGCCGCTCGTCACTTATACGTTTCCGATCTCGCGCTTGTTTCTCTCGCTCTCTCTCTCTCTCTCTCTCTCTCTCTCTCTCTCTCTCTCTCTCTATCGCACTCTCATCGCATGCATCATTCACATTTTTCTCTCCTCTTTTCGCACTCCCTTTCTCTCTCACTCGTCCATTCTGACAATACATTTTTGCGTCAACTAAGATATTCGCGATTTTTATGAATATTCATCACGGAGATCACTTTTGTTCGGAACTCTTCGCAGAGAAAACGAGTCTTACTCGACGAAACATTATTCGTCCACGTCCACCTAGATCGGAAACCAGAAATTCCACTAACCTAGGTAGACGATACAGACTCCTTCGTTTTTCTCTCGATTTGCGGCAATCGAATCCGGAAGAGAAGATTCGTAGCGGATCGAGACGCGCGAGGCGGATCCGAATCGCAATCACGCTGCTGGCACGATTTCGATAAATACTCGAGGAGAATGAGCGATGATCGGTGTCGATGACGCGGGGTTCGAGGGCGGCGGCGGCTGCCCTCTCGCTCGCTATAGCTCGCTCCTCGAGAGATTCACGGTAACTAAGATACTCGATCTCTCGGACAGAACCGGTGCATTTTACAGCGCAGACAGATAGGATTATATGTGTACGAATAATTGATATACTGAGAATTCGTGTCCGTTTCCTTCTGAATCCTGTGTCTCGGCGTATATCTCTCTTCTTCTTCTTCCGGCTCGACGATATTGGCTCGGCGTGGTTCCGATCATTCTCTCTCACTCTTTGTTCCGACTGTCCAAAGCCGACAAAGTTTAACCCGACGATGACACCGATGCGATCGTTCACGTCAGCATGTCATTACAGATGTAAGATCAAAGGACGGAGCGACGCCGAGAACCTGCATCGACTGGCGGGCAGCAGCGGCTGGTTTCTTCCTCCAGTATAATCGGTATAACTTGAAGTAGTAGCACAGTGGAGAAGTAGTAATAGTAGTAGTAATTTGTAGTAGAATAGTAGTTGTGGTAGTAGTAGTAGTAGTAATAGTAGTAATAGTAATAGTGGTAGTAGAGTAGTGGTAATACGTGACGATCGAGTGGTAATAGCGTAGTAATAATAGCGGTTTTGAGGCTGTGTTCTTGTTGTAGGTAAATAAGTAATTAATATGAAGGGGGAAAGGCGGGGAGGTGAGGGTTGGTTGGGGCACGTGAGAGGAGGGTGGGGAATATTGGTAGAGGTGGTAGTTAATTAGCTAGGGCTGCGAGATAATTAGGGACAACGCAGCTGGGGTTAACACCAGCGGAAAGGCACGGCTCGAGGCCGATCCGCGCCCTCCTTCACCAGCGGCTTGTGGAACTCCCGACCCGGGCGGGAGTGGATAGTTGCCCAGCAATGCTCGCAATAGTACTGAAAACAGAAAATATAGATTAGACACAGTCTATATCTTTTTTCATACATCATTTGTTTATATTAATAAATACGTAGAATGGAAAAAAAACATTTTTTTATTAATTTAATGAAATATTTGTATCTAAAAATTTTTTAAAATAATTTCTTAAAATAAATTCTTCTGCTTAATTTGTCGCGCAAAAATGACGATTTTAATTTTGAAATGTACGAAATAGAAATGTGAAATTTTAAAAATTATAAAATTTGATTTTAACGAAGTTCTCTTTCATGCAGGAATCTTAAAATTTTAGCCTTATTGTTAGATTAATCGAAAATATAATTATACTTTACAGCTTTTTTTATTTAATAATAATGATGAGTTGTATGTTACAAAATTGGTAACTGAAATATACCTGTAGGCAGGTGACGTTGGCGCAAAAAAACGGTGCGAATTTGCCTCCGCAGCGCTGGCCTTGACATTCGTCACACATTTGATCGTCCAGAACGTATGGTTTGACTTCGACCTGTTTGAAAAAAATCGCGATTAGCGGAGGAAGGATTCGAACAAGAAGGAAGCAAGTTCTTGTAATTTGTAAAAGGTATGCTTCATAAATAATGTAACGAAAAAAATCAGACTTGCTTCTTTCACTCGTGCTCTAAATTATCATTGTCGTACCGATCTTATTTATTCAAGTCATCTAGTAAAAGAAGTTATTAAAAACATTACAAGTTATTAAAACTTTTTCGCATTCATACCCTTTTGTCAATGTCGCCGTGCTGCAGCTGTACGAATCTGGCCGAGATGGCAGCTATGTAGCTTTGCTGATTACTGAAGGCGACCCGACCGGCTCCTTTGGGATACTTGAGCTCAGGATCGGTGTCGATGCCAGCGTAACAGACACCGCCGTAAAGTCGATCCATGATCATGGCGAGCTCAACGGCCTTGAGCGGCCGCGGCACCCCGCCAACGAAGACCGTCTTTCGCGGGTCGAGCGGCATGGAGGCGTCCAACACAAAGTCGGCATCGCTCAATCGCCATGGTCGGATTTGCACAGGTTTATCCTTAATCGTGGGTGAACTTACGCACAAGTAGAGCTTGTCCTCGTCCTGAATGCAGGCGTCTATCAACTGCTGCACCGAGCCCTCGTCCTGAAATATCGAATAACATTTTATGAAATTCGAGTAAGTTTTTTATAACGAGCTCGACCATCTTTATAAAAATGAAGAATAGAAACGGAAAAAGCATCGTATATAATATACCTGGAAAAGCAGGAACGCGTAGCCCTTCGGTGGAAAGTAAGATTTGCTCTCTGCCTTGTGTGGCCAGTCCACGACCAGCGGACCGAAGCGGCGAAAACTGGCTGTGATTTCATCTGTCATCAAAAATGCGTATATAAATATAATATATATATAATCTTCTCTACGTAATTATTCTCGATATGATGCGATCCAAGTACCTTCGTCAATGTCAGGTGGCAGCCCGCCGACGAAGACTTTCCTGGAGAAACGTTCGCCAGTCTCGCTGCCCTGACTGTGAGGACTGCTCCGACTTGGCGATGAGAGCGGCGCCGCTTGGGATGCCGTTATGCCACCGCCTACGCCGACGCCGACTCCAACGCCAACTCCGACACCGACGCCGTCCAGCTGACTCGGCGCGTTCGGATCTTCCAGCAAGGTGCCACTTTGCTCCTCGAGACTCGGGAAGAACGGGGATTTACCTGGAAAGAGACATTTCCACGTGAGCAATTTTGGATATTTTGAAAAATTTTCGCGAAACTCAGAGTACTCGATAACACATGTAAATCACGCTGATAGGAGATACGGTTTAGCGAGACGCGTTGACGGATAATCGAGGGGAAGAATAGCATAAAAGAGGACATAATTGATGGATAATAAATATGAGATTTTACGGCGATGCATGGAACGGTGAATTTGAATTAACGATCGGACGGCATGCGTGAAACGCAAGATCGTTATAAATCGTCCGCGGAAATCAAGGTTCGGATCTGACATTCCTTCTCCCGGATGTTTCATTATGCAATTATGCGGATCACATAATAAGCTACGGGAGAGAATTATGTATTATATACGCGCGACGAAAACGATGGAAACAGATTTTGACATCTTTTTATTTCTTTTTTTTTTGTGAAACCGGAAGTTTTGATGTTGCACAATTGAAATACAGCCTCGTAAAAGCATAATACCGCTTACGTAACGTTCTCGCTCTCGATGACAAATAGGGGATTTCTTTAAAATACCGCACGAATGAGTTATTTGATATTTTGAAAAGAACAACGTTATAAATATTTAGCATCGATTTGAGAAATCAATCAACGATAGGCTCGCGGCTCTTAGTTTCTTTAGATTGAGAAACTTGAGATATCAATTAAAAATAAATTAATTAAAAATAAATAAAAATGAAAAAAGAATAATAACAATAAAAAGAATATAAACTAAATTATATCAAAATAAATAGAAAATTACAATGATTAAAAAAGATAAAGCATTATGAGTGTTTACGCATTTTAAAATTATTTGTAACCAAAACTCAAATTTGCATATCAGAAGAAACTTTTAAAGAAGCATTAGCTATTTTAGACGTGATATGACTATTATTTGAAGAAATATACCCCTGATATAATAATTCCCTCGTTTTAAGCTTTATGTAATACATAATTATATGTATGCAGTTTTCTTAAATTGCCGCGAATTACAGTTAAATATAATTATTAAATTATATATTTTCTTGAGAAGAGGGAAGGGCTTTGAAAGTTGAGCGCTGCGGGCTCGAAAGAAAGACTCAGAGTCTGACATCGTAAATATCGGTAATTTGACGGCAACTGCGCGCGTGGGGCCCGTCCATTTCGGAGCAAAATGGTCTCGCGTGCACCACAGATGCACGTGAACACGATGCACGCGGAAGATCACGCGCGCAACGGCCGGTCATTAATTATTCGCGCGGATAATCGCGGCGAGTCGACAAACGCGAAGGAGAGCAGATCGCCGAGAGCTCGATAAATTCAGCGAGAACGATCGCGGAAAGGAAAGTCGCCTTCATCGATCATCGCGAAGCGAAGAAGTGGAGAAAAAAAGAGCGGACTCACTGTATCTCCTCCTGATGGGAAATCTCGCTCTCCTGATAAACGTCGCCATCGACGCGATCGTCGCGATGATCGAGATCGCGAGCCGATATATTCGCGAGATTCGACGCACTATCTGTCTGTCGCTTCTCGGAGGCGCTGTTTGTTTCTCCCGTTTCGTCGTTAGGGGAGAGAGAAAAAAAAAGGAAAAACAGTAAACAGAGTGCAACGCACTTTAAATGACACGTCGCCGGTTTTGCCGAAACAAGCGAACCGCGTCGTCAGCGTGCTCATTTTTTTTTCGTGCCATTCCGATCGTATGCATCTAACCGGAAACATAAATACGAAGGGCTCGTAGGGTTTAATATTTGCGTATTTCGGTTCGGCGACAAGCATGACCCCGGGATTTTATTTATTTACAAATGCAGCAGTATTATGTATATATAATGCCGTCTGTTATACACACTTACACGAGCTGATAATTATTTTAAATATATGTAGGTAATCACGCATGTGAGATAGGAATATACGGGTCAGTATATATACAGGGTGTCTCACGTCGAACGTGATACGTCTCGGCGGATCAAAGGGGGAGAAGAAAATTACGGGACCCTTATCATAAATATATCAGTTGAAGTTAATGAAGCATTAATTGATATTTATGGGACTTGTAGAGGGGAAGAAAATACAGGCAGAAATTGTTCGGAGTACAGGCGGAACATACCCTGTATATTCCCTGGTAACAATCAACCGATGACTTTTTTTTCACGTCAATGTTTAATGCGCGCTCGACGTGCGGACGAAATTATTGCCGCGAAATTGCGGCACGAACTTTAACTTTCGTATGCAAGAGGCCATGAGGAATTACGTAAGAATCGATATGTACGGGGGCGAGCGTATACAATTTACACCCGTAATTTCACGTGTAAGATATTTAAGACACGCCGCATCACCATCCGATCGGATCTCCGCGATTTTAATACATCGCATCCATGCATCTTCAGTGCCGTTTGCATAAGAATTTATGATGCTATTTTATGACTTTGTGTAGCTGTGCTACAGAATTTTTATTGTTGTATAGCCATATCTCCTGCACATCATTTATAGGAATACTTAGCACTCTGCAATAGAAAAAAATTCTTTCTTTTCTTATCAGAATTTTTTGCATATTTTATTTTTATTTTAAAAAAATTTTTTTTATTTTCCATGTTTGAGTCGATTAAAATTTGTTATTTATAAGAATTATTGAAAAAATGTAGTCTACCAAACTAGCCAGAAATTTAGTTTATTATTACGACCATATGGTTGTGGTCCTTATCAAGTACATACTGCAAAGATTATAAATTGATAAATTAATTGATAGTTTCAATATATAACACGCTCAACAAATTAAAATGTAACAATGTTAGTATACCGAAGCCATAAATCAGGAGACCGGCATAGACGATGATCTTATAAATTGCACAAATCACATTAACAAAAACGTTATTTATTAAAAGATTTAAAATAGAGAGAAATTGATGTGTCCGTGAGAGACTTCGTCAAAAGACTAAAAACAAACGCTATGAGACGGGACTATGTGACCTTTATTATTTTATCGTAAATATTATTTAAATTATCTGTGTCTTTCTGTAGGTTGATTAAATTATTATTAAATTGTTATTTATGTTATTCTATTGACAAGTATTAAGTTTGTACATCGAGACAAAAGTTAAAACAATTCTATTACCTTTCTTATAAATAATTCTTATACATTTCGATTTATTAATTCCGCGTTTCCGATTCGCGGCGTTAATTCTTTGAGTGAATAGTACTTTACATTGTGTGTCATGATATCGGCAACATGGTATGTGCTTTCGACTCTGTATCTTACATACATTAACATAAATAACATTTTGAGCGCAATCTATAATTCACTGGTGAAATATCGATAACACGTAAATGAACCCTATGAACTCGCATGCGAGGATAAGCGAATGTGCTCCGAAATATTTCACGGTAATTTTACCGATATTTTAGAGCTCGGACAGCACTATAATTAATTTATATATTCTAATTTGCGCGTATTATATGGTGCTATGATATCACAGATCGTCTTGATGTATAAATGTCTATTTTTCGATTTGATCGAATTGATAACTCTTTTTAGCGAAAGTTTAATTTTAGGAATATTTGTTTACGCAAAATGTTACTCGTCAATTTCGTCAGCGCATTGTCTTTATTGCGACGAGTGTGTACATTTCGACGAAGCGTTTCGAAATTCTTTCTTTGATTTCGCGATTTCGCTGCCCGTAAAGGAAACTCCATTCGGACCATGATATCTAGGTCAATCGTTCTGGCGCTTCGGTGGCAGTTTTAAGAGCGAGGCTCGCGTGGCGAAATCAAAATAACAGCGTAAAAATATGCCGATGCAAACATATAGATGTTTGAATTCACGGATATTAAACGTAGATTTACGACGATACTTACTGGAACTTATTATTATTATCGAAAGTAACATATTTTAATATCTAGATTATCTTATATGCACGTTAGATTTGAAGCTTCGGACTCATCTCTTCAAATTTCAAACAATTTCGTAATACAATATTATACTCTTCGGTTTCTATCGGTTATCACGGCTTTTCATATTTCATCAAAATGCAAAATCGAGAGAAATAATCCAGAATCATATCTGCTTTCAATATGTATGATACGTATGCATTTATGCGGCGCACAGGGTATTTCAGATTGAAAAAGTATCTTAAAAACTCGATGCATTTTTATGTAACATGTAGAATACCTCAGATTTGAAAAATATTTTAGAAACTGATTCTTCGTGACAAAATTGAGACGCGAATTTTCGCGAAAATGTAGAACTAACTTTTCAACATAGCCTCGTAATGAAGATTGGCAAAAATTAAAATAAAAGGTGTAATTTTGAGATGTTTAAATCAGGTAACAATTACGGGTGAGACCTAAATAAAAATTACGCAGAACAAATTTTAAAAATGCAAGAAATATCTCGATAAAAAAATAGCGCAAAAAAACAGAGGAACAGAGATACAGCTTACGCATCCTAGATTAACCTGAAAAAATACGCGAGAATACAAGCTATTCGATACTCTAGCAACTTCTGGACGAAACGGAAGCCACGGAGTATCCTGGCGAAGCCAGACAAGAGGCGATTGGAGTCCTCGCAGACTGATTCGAGAAAACTATGCGCGAGGATTCGATCCTCTCACCCGGCGGCGTATCTCGCTAGTTTACAAATTAGTCGGAAGCCCTGTGTACCGCATAAATCGTCTAATTATCCAGAGAACTGACCCATCGAGCTCGATGCCGCCAGCCTGTCTTCGCCCTGGACACGCGTCCAATTACTGCCGGGATCAATGACTTTCCCATCGCGCGCGGTTGTGTGTATACGCGATTGCATTTATATCTTTCCCCGTGGGGCTCGCCGCCAGTCAAAACGCGACAAGCTGTTTTTCTTCATGCTCTCTCGTTTTTTTTTTATTCTCATAAATTTGCATGGCTCCGACTTCCCCTCGTCGCTCGCAATCAGACTTCCCTCCTTCTCCTTCCCTTAGCCGTTTCACCTTCTCGTCACCAAGGGAGACACGGAAGGAGAGGGAGAGAAAGAGCGAGGGACAGTAAGA